CACAAACTATTTCCGGAGGTTTTAAGCAACAGGTGGGAGGAAGACCGGAAGGGCATTGCCCTTAGAGGAAGCAGCGTGTGTAAATGCATGGTGTGGCTCAGAGTGAAAGCCAAGAGTAACTTTCAGGAAGCCGAGAAAGGCGTGTCTTGGCCTGGCTTATCTTCTGGGCAGGGGAGGGGACTCTCACCTCGTGATCTCAATGCTGGATGTTGTGTCCAGGGGTTAGTCTTGCTCCACTTTGGGGGAACCAGACTGTGGAGACAGACCAGTGGCCGTATTCGTGACTTTAACACTGTTTTGATGAGGGGCATTTAAGATGGAAAAGCACAACTCACCCCAGCTCAGCCTACGAGTCACCTTGGCTTGAGCTTCAGGGAGGAACCTAGTTAGACATTTCACAGGGTTTTGGGGGTGGACCATAGAGAGCCACCCTGCCAAAGCTCCTTGTCTGTCACCCAGTGTGATGGAGAACCAGAATATTTGCCTGGTGGGTTTGTTTCTTCCTTTCACAGGCTTGAGAAGGGTCTGGTCGAAGTCAGAACTTGTTTGAAAAGTTCCTAAAATAAAAGCCAGTGATCTTCCAGGGCAGAGGGTGTATTTTGTCTCCCAGAGCAAATCTGATCTGTGCTGAGGCCCTTCCTCCAGCCTCGCCTTATGTAATTTGAGATGGTCCATTTAGCAATGATGCTACTGAGGCCCTCAGGGAGAAGCCAGGGTCCTGAGGTCACCACTCAGATGGCCAGTGACCCATTAGATTCCAATTAAATTCTAGGTGAGGCAGTGGAGGAGGCTGGACCAGATTCTCAGAAGGAGGCATGGCCTGCCATGGACTTGGGAGCAAAGCTGCAGAAGCCAGGGGGAGGGACCCTCCTTTCCCGGCATCAGGCGTGTGTTAGGAAGAGGTAGTAATGTAGAACTCGGCCATGGTGGGGGAGGGGTCAGAAGGAACTCCTTGACCAAATAAATAGATGAGTCAATTAAAAAGGATGGAGTTAGGGGCTATTTATAGCTATGGCCTAAATCACAGGTATCCTTGCCCCCAAGGAGGAAAAGGAGACCTTTTTTTGGGTGTCCCAAGCTGTATACATGACTAAGCTGATTAAGCCCTAGGCTGTGGAGGGTGGGATACTGGAAAGAGTCTGAGTGACTGAGAGCTCAGAGTGACAGCCCAGGGAAAGTGAGGGGGCAGGGCACTGCTGGGGCAGGCAGGGGATGGGGAGAGGCAGTCCGATTACGATTACGGAAATGGCTGTCCCCAGTATTAGCCATGGAGAGTAGCCATTCCCTGGACTTTGTCCTCCTGATTGTTTCAACCTGGTTGATCCTAACGGTTGAAAACAAGCCCTCTTTCTTAGCCGGAGGGTCGGTATTTAGCAATTAGAGCTGGTATTGCTGACTCTCACCTGTCCTGAGTATAATTAAGTGAGAAAACAGTTAGCAAGGCCTGTGTGGCATGTGGGTGTCTACTGCTGCGGTCGCTGCCACCTGCCACATAGTCACCGTGCCACGTGGCTGCATCTGGCCTGTGAAAGCAACTGTGGTTTGGAGATTCAGAGTCTTAATTTGGAGGGGTTAGTTTGCAAAGTGGCCCCTCTACCTTTAGCCACTGTCAATAGTCTCCTGTGCCAAGCTGAAGGGGTAGGACTTTGGGTTGTTAAAGGTGTTAAATGGAAATAACCCTGAGCTCAGCAGTTAAGGATCAGACTTGGAAGTGTGCTTCTTCCTGGCTGTGTAAACCGCAGTCAGGTGGCTCAACCACCTGAGTGTTGGTTGGGCCTCCACAAAGTGGGGTGATGGCTCTCATCTCGATGGCTAGTAAGGGCTGGATACCGAGAGACAGCCTGGAATGCACTGCCTGAGCTGGTGGGTATCTCTCCACATGCACAGGACATTTCCAGAGTGCTTTTGTCCCTGCTGGCTAAGATGCTCTGGAGGCCCATTACCTTTGGACTAATTAGGAGATAAGTGAGCGGCAGCAATCATTGGAGAAGGATTTAAAGGAAGAAGGGAAATATTTAGCCTGATTAAAAAAAAAAACTGTTATTAGGTGGAATTATATAAAGCACCCAGAGCTGTGTGGCCACATGTCAGCTGCAGTTATTATTTCAACCATAGGAAAACAGTTGGAATTAGAGGAACAAAGGGTTGCTATGACTACGGCAAACCCAGGTCCTTCTCAGTGCACCTGGGGCAGGCCCAGTCCCTGCCCTGGAACACAAAGCAATCTGAGGCCACCAGAGAAGGTACAGGATTACTGCTGGGGAACCAGAGCCACACTGCTGAGAGATGGGTGTAGGCTGAGCAAGGAATCTGAGGTAGCATTGAGGAGACGGAGAGCCAAAAATACATTGGGGTATCTCGGAGCACACCCCACTGTGAATTTCTTAGGGTGGTTAGAGTCCTCCCATCCCCCATGGTGCTGAGGGTAGAACCGGGGGCTCGGTATTCTAGGCAAAGCTCTGCCATTGAACCACATGCCCTAAGCCCCTTATGGGGATTTTTTAAAGGTTTGTTTATTTTACGTGCATGAATGTATGTCTGTATATATATATATATATATATGTGCACCACCTGGGTGCAGTGTTCACAATGGTCAGAAGAGGGCATTGGGTCCCCTGGAACTAGAGTTACAGATGGTTGGGAGCCACCAAACTCTAGTTACTCCTCTGCAAAAGAGAAGTAAGTGCTCTTAACTACTAACCCATCTCTCCAGTCCCATGGAGACTTTTAAAAGATGACAGGTTTTTTCCCCATGATGTAAAAGAGAAAATATTTTAAATCTTATTTCCTGTGCATTGGTGTGAGGATATCAGATCCCCCCTGAACAGGAGTTACAGACAATTGTGAGTTGCCATGTAGGCACTGGAAATTGATCCTGGATCCTCTGGAAGAGCAGCCAGTGCGCTTTAACTGCTGAGCCATCTCTCCAACCCCAAGAAAACATTTTTAATAGGGGGAAAAAAAGGGAACCGGCTGGGGTGCATCTGGTTGGCAAAACACTTGCCTAGCATTTGAAGCTCTGAGCCACATTCCCAACACTGTAGAAAAAGACAAAGAACTGTAATAATACAAGGGACCCTGTCTCCCCAATAATACCAGCTGGTGAAGGCTTTGTTCCAGATAGACACAGGCCATGTGAGTCTACTCAGTCATGGGGGCAAAGCTCTTTGGGAAGACATGAATCTGAAGCAGTGATGGCTGCTGCTCTCAGCCCTCCACCCGAGGGGCACCTCCCCTCAGGGGGAAGGGCAGTGGGGGAGGCTGGGTGTTGGGGTGACATCCCATGTTTGAGTTCTGGCAGTGAGGGAGCCAATCAAACACTCAGCAGGGCTGTGCTGTGCCCAAGTCCTGGTGGTAGAGGTTTAGGGAGAATGTTGGTGGCTTTTGTCAGGTGCCACTCCAAGGGCCTCTGTGAGCTCACCTAATCCCAACAGTGCTACTAAACAGGGCCCATTCTCTGGAGACTGCTTTGTGAGTACTCTCTCTCCCGAGAGAGACCAGTGTGCCTGCGCCTGTTGGGAGGGGCAGTGGGGTTCCAGGTGTAGGGTTCCTCAGTCAGCTGGTTTAATCTCACTTAGTGAGGGGCAGTCTTCTGTTTGCAGCAGTGGAGGAGTCTGCCCTGTTGTTGGCATTCCATAGCAGGTGTTTCTCTGGCTGAGAATATTCTGTTTCCACCACTATAGGAGATGGTGTCCCCTCTCACAAATCCAAGATGTGCCCTTGTGGTATGGAGGCATCTATGAGAGGCTAGCCCAGCTATCTCTCGCCCTTGCTGGGATGCTGAGCTGAGGAGGAGCCTCTGTCTGTGGCCCAGGCTGCCCACTGTGGTTGGGTGCCGCCTCCGACACTTTCTTCTTGGATCAGACAGGAAGGCCCTACTTAACCACCCAGCCCCAGAGGCCCCAAAGGCCCTCGCCTTTGTCTCTCAGGGTGGCCCTGTCCAGAGTTGGAAGAGCTGCCACAGAAGGGACTGAAAGGCCTTCAGCTTTGCTAGGCCTTCCACCCCCCACCCCCATATAAGCTTGGCACATGTGCACTGCATCAGCTAAACAATGGCTGATGGTCAATTTTATTTGACATTTTATCCAGTGCCTCCCAGTTTACAACCCCACTCTTCCAAGACTTCTGGGAAGCAGACATAGCAGGTGAGATTTCTGGGATCCACCTTTAAGATTGAGTCAATAGGTACAGATGGGTCCTGGTACGCACACCCTAGCTTATTCCCCAAGGTTCTACAGTCTATCGGACCAAAGCCCGGCCAGCTGGGAGTAATAGGTAGCATACACTTTTAATTGGGAAGCAGAAACAGATGAATCTCTATGAGTTTGAGGTCAGCCTGGTTCATATGATGAGTTTTAGGTCTGCCAGGACTACACAGTTAGACCCTGTGTCAAAACAAAATGAAGACAAAATGAAGATCTGGTTTCTTAAGCTGATCTTGAAACTTTGCCCGAAATTTCCCAATTCTGAACCAGAGCCCAGTCCCAGGTGAATGGCAGGTGTGATGTGGCAAGATCTGGGATGACTAAGAAGACTTGCAGTGGGTGAATTAAACATGGGTGTTCTGAGAGTTTAGAACCAGAAAGAGGAATACCAGGAGAATATGGCCATCCTGGGATGTAAAGGGGATCACCCACCCAGGATAGGGCAGAAAGGGTTGGTGAAGCTTGGATTCCAGGTGAAGTTCACAGAGAGCTCTGCAGGCAGCTGGGAGGCACTATTAGTTCTCGGGCTGGGGATGATCTGGCTGCCAGGCAGAGTTTGCTAGAAGTGAGCTGCGGGGCTTGCTTCTGATGGGTTTCCAGCAGCTGGGGGCAGGTCATGAGAAGGCAGTGCTGTGCCCTGGGTGCCTTTCACTAGAGCTTACCTGGGCTAGCAGTGGAGAGACAAGTGCTGGTGTTGCCCTGGGAGATGCCCTGTGCACAGAGGAAGACACAGCTGATTTGTGTCAACCTCGGGATACTCCCCACATGGATTTTAACGCTGAGTTTTTCTTCTAGCCAAGCAGTAGCTGGTGTTAGGCACCATCTTGTAGCCCTGGAAGCCGCTGCCACCGCCACACGCTGCACCAACGTCCGTCAGCCTGACAGAGTTAGATATGAATCCCGTGCACCCAGGTTTGCAATAGGAGTTTATTCTCTGCCTCTGGCACCTATTATATCCACAGGGTAGGGGTGTTAGGAGTGTCTCTACTCCCCACCTCTCTGCAGTTCCTTCTCTGGAGCACATCTGCTGCTGCCATCCATGCTGGGCCACCATGGCAGAGTGCTGTGGGGCCAGGACTCTGCTTTCTCCTACAGAGTGGGATTGCGTATGGACATGCCAGGGCTTCTGAGGCCCTATCATGCAGCTGCCAAGGGAATCCCCTGGTACTCAACGAGCCTTTGGGGTCGCTTGGGGAAATGCTCGGGGAATGTGCTGCATGATAGAAATTGAAGCTAAGATTCGGGACTCTCCAAAACAACAGCAACAGAATCTCCTTCTTGGGGAAGTTGTACTCTGAGTCTATGAACAGGCTTCAGGTCGCTCTTTCCTGATGTTGCTGCACTTTGTCCTGCGGCTCTGCAGGCATCAAGGCACCCTTAGGGTTCTCGGCACTCTGTCAGGCAGCAGCTGGGACGCGTGGTGGGAGGGGTGACAGACAGAGGAGCACAGGCTGGTGATGTGGGGCCCTGGAGGTTGACTGTCACTGCCTGGTGAGGGTTGTGTCCATTACTCTTGGGTGATCCCTGGTCAAGGTGTGGGGTGTGAGAAAGCATCCTAGGGAGGTCTTCAGCTCCTGGGAGTGGGGGTGGGGAAGCAGGCATGGCTTCTCCTTTGCTCAGAACCGAGGGTGGCTCTGGGTAGGTGACTGCTCCTGCCATGCTTTTAAGTCATAGTCTGATTGGGCTTTGGTGCCAGGAAGGAAGGATGCCCTTTCTGTATGGCGAAAATGAAGCGTTGAAAGAGTAACCCTGGGGGAGGGGGGTGATTTACAAGTATCACACATTGCCCAGACATCACACCCATTGCACAGATGGTAAGGCTGAGGCTCAAGGGCAGTGACTTGCCTAAGGCCACCTAGCCGAGTATGCTGCCTGCTCTCTATGAAGTCACATGACAATTGTGGAGGGGTCACAAGGTGGCCTAACTCTTGGGGCTTCTCTTGCATTTCTGCGGAGTGAGAGAAGGGTTCTGCTTCCCTTTCACAGAAGGACACAGGGTGCCGCCTTGGGTCCCTGTAGCTTGAAAGTGGGGAGGTTTGTGGAAACCGCAGAGGCCTCCAGAAATAATCCTGGGCTCCACATGCCTGCCTCAGGACCCTGGCACCCCACCCCCACCACAAGAGGCCCTGACGCTGGGGAAATGACGCTGCTGGAGGTGAATGGCAGCCCTGTGGCTGGGTGAGTCAGTGCCTGGAGCCCATGCCTGCTGACTCACCTCCCCTGTGGGGAGGAGCAGAGCTGTCCCTTCAGAGCCAAGAGCTTGGTCCACCTAGGAGCTAAAGGAGACAGGTGGCTGGCAAGGTCAGGAGCCAGGTGTCCTGAAGCTTTTTGTGTATAAAATCTCCAGGTGCACACTCCCTGGCCCGGAGCACCCTGGAGACACCACGGTGTGGTCAGGCCTCCCTACTTCCTCCTTCTCCCTTCCCCTCCTCTCCCTTCCCCCTCTCTTCTTCCCTCCCTCTTCTGCCTCTCCCCTCATTCTTACCTCCCCTCCCCCTTTCTCCCTCACCTCCTTCTCCTGCCTAACTTTGTAACTAAAAGTTGGAGGTCCACTGAATGGCATCTGGTAACTAGGTTACTCCCCTGACCCCCAGACCCAACCTAGACTTTGGGTGTCCAGCTCAGAGGGGAGGGATCTTCCCTGTACCCCTTCTTTGCAGTCTCTTCCTACTTTGGAAGCCCTCCTGCCTTTCCTCTGAACTTCCCAGAACTTTTGTGTTTTAATAAAACGTGCGTTTCCACTGTCTCTGATTTTAGGGAACAATAGGATGACCCTGTAACCAGACCAAACAGGTAGATGACAGGCAGGTGACAGATGGGGCTTTGTTTCCACACAGCCACCTTCTGCCACCAGGGAGAACTGCCAGGCCTGGAGTCGCCTTTTGTAGAAGGGGAACCCTGTGCTTTGCAGAACTTGGCTTCACCTCTGTAGTCTGGTGCAAGCCCTGTGCTTAGAGACACGCCTTCTCCTTATCACCAGTGGCGGACCTTCAGACAATAGGAAGGAGGTCCACTACGCACTGGTCCTTCTTTGCACACAAAGGCAGCTTCCTTCAACCCATCCATCCCATGAGTGACTCTGCTCAGAAGGGCAGTAGGTAGCTCCAAGGTGTGGGGGTTAAATGACCAGAAAGTCACAGAACACTCTAAGCAAGGCCCTTGAGACCCTCTTCCTGAGCTGGAAGGAGGACTAGCCACTCAGGGAAAGCTGGAGCTTGTAAACAAAAGGGTTTTAGCTGTCAGTAGAACAGTGGGAACTCGTTATAAATCTAGGTTTAAACCTGGCCTGGAGGTCCTATTCCCGTAGGCATTGGCATCCTCTGGCCACTGTCTATTTGCCGAGTCTAATGCCGCTATCTTTTAAATTTTGTGTTTTCAAGGCTATGTAGCTCTGGCTGGACTGGAACTCACTATGTAGACCAGGTTGGTCTCAAACTCAGAGATCCACCTACCTCTGCCTTCTTAGTGCTGGGACTAAAGGCATACGCCATCATGCCCGGCTTATCTTTTTTTTAAGGGTTTATCTTTGTTTTATGGGTGGGTTGCTTGAGTTCATGTCTGCACCATGTGCATACAGTGCCTGCAAAGGCCAGAGGAGTGCGTCAGGTTGAGCACACCATGTGTGTGCTGGGAACGGAACCTAGGTCCTCTGGAAGAGCAGCTGGTGCTCTTAACTGCAAAGTCATCCTTCCAGGTCTAGTATGGCTGTCTTTGTGTGTACTTTCCCCTCCCCTCGGAACTCGGTTCCCCCAGATCTTTTAGATAGAACTTGGCTTGATGGCAGTATGGTGAGAAGCACGAATTGTCTGGATATAAATCCCAGCTGTGTGTGTGGCTGCAAATAGAACCCACCTCACTCTGTCTGCTTGCCCCTGTAAGCTGGTAAAGCTCATTGTTCGGTTTGGCAGGCCCCATCTGGAGGTCCTCTGCTCTGGGGGAGGCTGTGCAACAAGAGCATTCCTGCTCTGAGCCTCAGCCTCCATCCAGTGCTCCAGAGGATGGGGTTGTAGCTAGATCCAGGAGTAGGATGCTGACCCCCAGGTAGACAGGCACCCTGGCCGGAGACAGAGAGCTGAGCTAATGCTCACTTTCACTTTGAGAGTGCTGCTGCTCATTCATTTGTTCTGTGCTCTGTTCCTGTACAGTGGAACCACTAGCTTCCCAGTTGGCATCATGGGGACAGGCCAACGGATCTGTCTTGATCTTGCCAGTATACCCTTACAAGCCTTGACTTGCCCTTCACTGTGGCTGTGTTGACTGAGCTGGGCCAGTGGTCTGACCAAAGTGAGTCTGCCCTAGCCACGCCCCTTTTCCTGTGGGTTTGGGGCACAGGTGTTAAAGAAGTTGGAAGATGTACTAGTGTAGGTAGACGCCATGGAGGATATGGTCCCAGGGGATCCCAGTCCAAGGGGCACCTTTGGTGGCAGGAGCCTAGAGCTGCCCATCCTCCCTGGTCCCTGCTCTTCTGTTCTGCCTTTGCCTGCCAGACTCCAGGAGACGGTTCAGTTGTCACACTTGACTTAGCCTGTTTGCGGAAATAGATTACCAAACGATGATGAAGACCATGTGATCCAATTAAATGATTAAATTGCTTAAAGGCTTTTTTTAAAAAGTAATTTCTCCTTTAAAATTTTTGGAGCCAGTCTCATGTAGCCCTGGCTAATCTCAAACTTTCTATGTAGATATGTGTGATCTTAAACTCCTGATCCTGGTGCCTCCTCCCAAAAGCTGAGGTTACTGGCCAGTACCACCACTCTGACTCTTGTGTTTTCTTTACAGAAACATCTACCCTGCTTAGAGGGCAGAGAACATTGTTAACCCAGCTCACTTAATCCAGTGATGCACTTTACACACCTCTTAGGGCCAAAGATGGAACCTGGGTAGAACTCTTGGCAGACAATTCTAGTGGGTCCCAGCCCTCCTACTCAGGCATTACTGATGGATCCCAGCCCTTGCACTCAGGCATTACTGATGGATCCCAGCCTTCCCACTCAGGCATTACTGATGGATCCCAGCCTTCCCACTCAGGCATTACTGATGGATCCCAGCCCTTCGCTCCTTGCACCTGTACATTTGCTCTTAGTCTATGGAGACTTTGCTCCAGTGAACCCCTTTGAGCTGTGAGAAGTCCTAGAGACAGGCCCCGTGCACAGGGCCCCCATCACAGTCCCGTGACCCCTGGTTCAGCCTGTCACGTCATGTGGCCCTTCACTTCCCTGTTTGCCTTGAGCTTGGTTCCCTAATTTGTCAGCTGGCTCAGTGGCTTGCAGCTGGTTTTTAGCTTTTTAAAATTACATCTGTCCAGAGTGAGTGGGTTTGTGTGTGCACTGGTTACACTACTCAGAAGCAGGTCAGAGGACAGCCTGCGGGAGCCAGTTTGTTCCTCCCATCCTGTGGGCGACACATCTAGGCACTGTGGCAAAGCCCTTTTTGCCCACTGAGCCTTCTCATCAGCCCGTAGCTGGTTGCTTAAAGGCCCCAGGACCTAGTTTGCTTGTGAAGCTGGAGAGATGGCATCCCTGACTGTACGGGTGGTTGAGAACGTGGGCTTTGGAGCTGCTCACACTGCAGTATGCATTGTGTGGTGTGGTCAAATGACCTTCACCTCTCTGGGCCGTGTCATCATCGAAAGCAAGATGATAAGGCACCTTTGGAGGAAGCTAATTAAAAGGCTGCCTGGGGAAACTTCGAATAGTGCTAGGGAAAAAATGTGGGTACTGTTAAATATAGCTCTTTTTCTTTTGCTTTAAAATTACCCATTATCATAATTTTTTTAATGAGAATGGGTGTTTTGCCAGCATGTCTGTCGGTATGTGTACTGCATGTGTGCCTGATGCCAACAGAGGCCAGAGGATGGCATGAGATTCCCTGGAGCTGAAGTTACACATGGTTGTGAGCCACCGTGTGGGTGC